AGGTCACGGTTCAATTCCCGGTCAGGGTACATGCCGGGATTGCAGGCTTGATACACAGTGTGGGATGTGCTGAAGGCAACTCATCAATGACTCTCTCATCACTGATGTTTCTGTCTACCCCCCTTCCTATCTGAAATCAATAAAAATAAAAATAAAAAGAGGATAAGGAAACTCAGGACAGAGTTGAGCGGAGGTAGAACAGCCAGGAAGAGACTGAGAAAGCAGGCAGCAGGACAGGAAATTCAGCGACTTATGCTGCCTGCCAAGACAATGGGGTGAGGGACATTTTATTGGCCCTAATACTCAAGACAGCTTAATCAGGGCATTTTTCAAACACCCGGGGGAAAGAAAACCCTGGCTGTCACCCATGCCTCCGCAGCTTGCCCAGATGCAATGGTGCAGCTCTGCTCAAGTGTAGAAGGGGCAGAAGCGTGCCACGCTGTGTGCTTGCGGTGGGACAAAGATTTCCTATTCTGGGGAAGGAGGAAGGTGAAATAACGCCCACCAAGGACATAGCTCAGTGAATGTGCACAATGATCCTACTCTTCATTCTATAAAGAGGAAAAGAGAGCCAGAAAAATCGAGTAATTTGCACAGCGAATGTGGCCACGTTGGGATTCAAACTTGGGTTTTAGCTCCTAAGTGGATGTGTTTCTACTCTACCTGTAACCCAGTGAACTCCCAGTACGGCTAAGAGATCACTTGGTTTTCAGGACGGCTAGCCAGTGTTTCCACAATGGCTGCAGTGACTGAATCCAGTTGCTTCTCAAGAAAGGGTTGCATAAATCAAGAAAATCAAGTTAGACACAGCAAGATAGCTATTGACACCCTCCCCCCCCCGCCCCACCTGGGTCCTTGAGGCAGGAGTGTGGCAGGTGGGGCAAAGATCTGAGCCTCAGTAAGGCACAGCATGGCAGGATGGAGACTGGTCAACTACCCTAGTTTCAGGGCAATTTGCCAAGACCTGCCTTGTACGTCATTCTTCTATTTACAAACCTTCAATGGAATCTCTCAAGTCAAGAAGATGGTCTCTGGACAAAGCACAGGTGAGGGCAGGAATGCCATGCTGAGAACAGGGGCATGAAGTGGACAGGTGCAGCCTAAACACCAAGATGCAACTCCTGGACACTGGCAGCCTGGCCTTGGTCTCCTGAGACCCAGAGGAGAGGAGTTAGGAGGAGAGGGTTTAAGACCAAGGGAGCATCTACAAGGTGCTCAACAGAGTGAACAAGGTGCATCTTTAGGGCCAAAAGACTTGACTAGAGGGTAGTACATGGGAGAGAGATTTGGCAACAAATGAATTCTGGGGCCAGTCTGCAGGGTCCTGTAAACCACCTTAAGATTTAAGTTTTGGTGCTCGCTTTGGCAGTACATATCATAAAATTGAAAGATTTATAAGTGGAGAGGGAAAACATTAGTTAAAAAAAAATTCTACTTATGGCCCAGCTATGTAACTCAGTGGTTGAGTGTTGACCTATGAACCAGGAGGTCACAGTTCCATTCCTGGTCAGGGAACATGCCCGGGCTGTAGAATTGATCCCCAGTAGGGGGTGTGCAGGAGGCAGCTGATCAATGACTTTCTCTAATCATTGATGTTTCTCTTGCTCCCTTCTCCTCTGAAATCAACAAAAATGTATTTCAAAAATATCAAAATAAGACTATACTGTGACAAGTGGAAATTACATGACATTCAAATGTCAGTGCTTACAATAAGTAAAGTTTTATTGACATGCAGTCAGGCACTGGTATGGCTCAGTTGGTTGGGTGTCGTCCTGTGCACTGAAATGTTGCCGGTTTGATTCCCAGTCAGGTACATGCCCAGGATGCAGGGCATGCAGGAGGCAGCTGACTGATGTTTCACTCACCCTTTCCCTTCCTCTTTCTCTAAAAATCAATTAAAAAGGGGTGGTCTGGAGGAGGTTAATAGGGGCAGGGGGGAAGGAGGGGACATATGCAATACTTTCAACAATAAAAGAATTATTAAAAAATAATTTTAAAAATCAATTGCTTACATGGTGTCTGTGACTCCTTTCTCACGGACAGAATTGAGTGGCTGCAAGTCTCTAATGTTTTTATCTGACCCTTTACAGAGAAAGTCTGCAAACTGTAAGTTACTACATTACAGCGTATATACCCCATCATTCCAATAAACATTTGCAAGGATTATTTGGTTATAAAAGACTTGTATGTAAACTAGGAATAGGAAAATGCTGAAAGAGGAAAAATGTGTTCTTGTGGCATTTGGGCTTTTTCAGTGCATGAAGACAACCTGGCAATTCCTCTTGGGTGTGCATCAATAGGCAGCTTCCAAACCCAGAAGGAATGACAATGTCTGTTTCTCTGTCTGACTTCTGCAAGTGTCTCTGTTAAAAGGAGAAAAGGAAATCAACAGACCAAACACTATCATTGGAAAATACAGCTAGGAACCAGACGGCCCTATAGTTAGTGTTCCCTAAGGATGTCAACATCTCGCCTTCTCATAAGTGCCCACACTTTTGGAATAAAAAAAATAACTGAAACAAATGGTCTGACAAGTGTGAGTGTGCCATGGGGGCCAAGGGGCCAGTTTTTGAATTTGGGACCTACTAGAGAAATCTGACATACACTACTGTGATACTCACAGGGGAGACTTCCATAGAGCGGAGGGCCAGACAGGTTAACAGACACTTGCTCTCACTGATGGAGTCTTTTGATAATGTTATAAGAATTACTTGCAAGCTTAGATGTTTTAATAAGTGGGCTACTGGGGCTGTGAATCTGGGGGTCAAGTTTTTTGGAGCGAGGCTACCTGTGTGGAGCATTCTCATACTCTAACATAAATAAATTTAGCCTCTTGACAAGTGATATTTCTCAAAAAGTATCTAGCCCCCAATCAACTTCCTAAAAACACATGGGACTATTAATAATTAAAGGATGGGCCCTAGCTGGTTTTACTCAGTGGATAGAGCGTCAGTCTGCGGACTGAAGGGCCCTGCGTTCTATTTCAGTCAAGAGTATATGCCTGGGTTGTGGGCTTAATCCCCAATAGAGCGTGTGCAGGAGGCAGCCAATCAATGATTCTCTCTCATCATGGATATTTCCAGCTCTTTCTCCCTTCCTCTCTGAAATCAATAAAAATATATATTTAAAAAAAATTTAAAGGATGAAAACCAACCAATGTATGCATTAATAAGTGGAACAAAAATCCATGTTTCTATCTTCCTAAAATCAACCAATAAAAAAATGAAAGAATGATGCCAAATAAATGTTATTGAAAACTAGGTCACATACTCATTTTGAAGAGTTGTGCATATTTTTATATTGACTATTATTAGGTCAAATCAAACAAAAGGGCATCAAAGCTAACACCAGGTTCATTCTGAGGGCCTATTTAAGGAAGATTTATGCTCCACCCAGAGCCTGAGCCCTTACCCGCTTCCCCCCCTGCTATTTATTGTTCAGTTGCCTTCCCTGAGGTCAGAAAACTGGCCCCTCAGTCCACTGTCCATTTGGTGCATGCCCGACAGGTGATGCACACACGTGCACAGAGAAACCCACAGCCCTCCTGCTGCTCCTTCAGAGGCCATGTCAGAATGGTTATGTGCTCCCCAAGTCCCTGACAGCAGAACCTACTCCCACTGCAGCATGTCTAAGCCCCACAATGTGGGCTATTGCTGTTTTTGGTCAAATGTGAAAGAGAAAGCTATATGAATGGAAAGTAACGGCAGACATTTGATGTGCTCAGTAAGGCTAAGCTATTCCATTATGCCACAGGACTGCAAACCTTCAAAGCGATGTTTCTTCACATGACTGCCTCGCTATTCAGGAAAATGTTATGGCAAACAGCCTCAGAATTGTCCACTTAAAAGCTAATGTAATTGGTGCAAAGTGAAAGATCTCCTATCTTCAGGTTTCCATTTCCTTAGTACTCCTACAGCTTGCATACTCAGAGTAAATGTTAAAGCTGGAAGAATCCTATTACTGTATTTATTCACGCAACTCCCTGCATTACCGAGTCTCTAAGTGGATGTGAAATGAAAAATATCCGCATGAGCCTGTAGGTTAAAGAGGAGACACCGGCGAGCATCCCTCTGCAAACCTGCCCGGTCTGGCCTAACTGAAGCAGAGGAGGCTGCTAGGCTGAGCTGGGTAGACCTGTCAGGAGCTGCAGGGGAGACCTAGGGCACTGCCTGCCTATCTTCTGTGAATTGGACACTTAAACTTTCAAATAAAAAGACTAAGAGAGAAAAATCTAAATAAGTAATACAACACTCTATACCTCTTGGCAAACTACATTTTTGCTCCTGCTTCTCACAAATGCAACAATTTATAAGGAATATTCATAGTTTAGTCCAAACAGGGAAGAACTTGGAAGGGAAGAATTAACTGTCTTTGGAAGCTGTGTAACTAACAAATTTATTTGGTAAATGGACTTCTCTCAGAAAATAATGCAAATGAGGAGTTGCCAGATTTTACTTAATTTTACTTTTCCTCAAGTTGGGAATAAAATGGGGGAGGGAAGACAGAGTATAATAACCTTATTATTTACAAGGTTCCAGCCAGTAAATTATGCTGCTAGTAGCTGCTCAAGAAGTGTGTCCTTCAGAGGGAAGGCAGGAGAGGGTGAGTGGGAAGAGATGAATGAACTCGTGTGCATATATGCATTACTTGTGGACACAAAGGGGTGGTGAGGGCTAGGGAAAGCTAATGGGAGAAAAAGGAGGACCCAGACCTATGTGATACTTTCAATAATAAAGATTAAAAAAAAAGAAAGAAATGTGATCTATTAAGAAAACATTTCTCAGAAGAGCAAAGGGTGAAAGTCCATGATACAGGAGAAAATAAACATGTGAATCATAGTACAAACAACGCTAGTGAAGTATGTGCAGAGGAAAACAACAACCTAGTCTTTGATTTCCTATTATATATACAAACCATACTTGTCTTCTTTCCTACTGAGTATTATATTTTTGTATAAAAATAACAGGAATATTTACTTTGTAAGACACAAAAACCCAGGATCACAGTACACAGTGGTTATTTATTTAAATACTTGAAAAGGTCAATGATGGAAAAAATAGGTTTATCATGAGAGTTTATATTCATTAGACTTATTTTACCATTTAAAAAAAGTGCTGCTTCTAGGTTATTTCAGCCAGACATAGAACACTTCATGATACATGCAGCTGCTGAAATCACTAGGACAGACACAGCCCTTGTAGAATGATTTACACTTTGGGAGGAAATTCAATTGTTGTAGTGGTGCCGGTTTATTTTAACGAAAAACATTGATAATATACAAATCTTTTTTCTCATTTGATTGAAAGGGCTATAAAATTCAACATCCTGACAAAGGAGGCAACATAATCCCGTAGGTAACACCTCTGATTGCCTTTAGCTCTTCCTTTCTTAAAGGAGAGCCTCACACTCAGCTGTACAGTTGTCTAGCTGGCACGGCAGCTTCAAGGCTGGCCTATCCCAGTGACTGGAAGAAGGTTGTGCGGGTAAGCTGACAATGACTTGTTTGCTTTTAGAAACGAAGAGAAAGTGGTCAATTGTGCCTTGGGTACCTGAAGGACCCAAAGATCGTTCTGAGTAAATGTGAAATAAATAAGTGATCCATGAGTAAATACAACCTCTGGCTGACGCAAGCCTAGGAGAGTGAGCCAACTGAGCACTAACAATACCATGTAGAAACATCTAGAAATATCATTTCTAGAACTCAGTTTGGGAGACAATATCTTGCCTGAATATGTACATTATTTACAAAACATTCCCTTTTGGCCTCTGGAATTTAGCCACTTTAGTCTGGCTGTTAAGCTGCTTCTTTCCATATGCTAGCCAATACTGCAGTTACAACTATCGTTAAAATACTCTTATGCACGACTTACAAATAATTAATAAAGTAACTCTGCATGTACAAATATGCCAATATTTCTAGCAGAATTTAAAGCATTCAGAATGTACATAAAAGTATTTGTTTTTGGTAGGGGCCAGTATTTTTTTGTTTTAAATCATCGCTGTTTCAATAATGCTTTGTACATGGCAAAGCCCAAAACGGCAAAAACAGTAGCACCAAAACTTGCTCGAAGCCAAAACGTGGAGCTCTTGAGGTCAGCTTGTGTCACGTGCCTGTAGTCAGAAAATATAATTAATGTTTAAAATATGACTAATATGAAAACACCAGTATTAACAGTCTACTTTTAGGGAAGTATTAGCACACTTGTCAGGCTAATTGCATACAGTAATGTTTAACCAAAAACATTTATCAGTGTAGTCACATGTACAATGCTTAGATGATCATTATCTTACAATGTGGGCATCAATAAAAATAACTGTCTTTACAATGAACTACGATTTGAGAGTAAACAACATTTAAATTTTTATACATTTTTTTCACATGGGAAATGGAGAACTTAAGACAAATCATGAACCACTTTTTAATACCACCATGGTCCTCCAAAATGAAAGGGAAGACTGGGATCTCACAATTTTGAGAGTTAATTTCAAGAAACTTAATGTGCAATCTTGAGTCCCCAGGAATTGAAAGCTATCTTGTAAGCAGTTAAGCGACAAGTGACAATACTTTTCTAAGAGCAATGCTTTAAGTCAACTTTGGAAATATTGAGCCCCATAAAAATTTACCCAAAAAATAGCAAAGGGGGCAGGGAAGATTTACCAGTTTGCATTAATTTGGTTAATGCTGATTAAAGAAAGGAAAACAAACAAACAAACAAACAAACCTTGGTATTAGTTAGACAGGCAGTGACAATGGTATCAACTAAAGGACAGTGTAACATGATGGAATGAGAAGTAAATGATGTAAAAAAAAAAAAAAAAAAAGCCACATTATGCGTGACAAGAACAGGGGCAGCCTGTACCACAAACTGAGTTTGTGAGCATGCTCAGTTAATAACACTGCTAAGCACCCTCCAGAGTCTCAAGTATGACAGCTTACCATGAAGAGGATAAAGCTTTAAAGCAAAGGTTGGATCATTTTATTCAAGCATCTCTGAAGTTTTAGTTAAGTGATCACAATTGAGGTGATGTAGAATTAAGAGCTCAGAGAGAGACTGTCTAGTGCAGGTTATTTTACAACTAAGTTAAACATACAGATTTGAAGGAAAAATCATACATCATTAAAAGACCAAGACACTGACTGACACATGCAGAAGAGTTAAGAGCCAAGAATAGAAATTGTATAAAACTACTGTGCCTCAGTAATAGTCAAAGAGTGATCAGATTAGTTATCACAAAGTGCAATCTGTGCATTCCTGGAAGCAAGACTAGACTACGATCCAGAGTGCTCCATGCTTGGCACCCTGGCAAAACAACACTCCGCACTCTGGTTTCTTATCCTCCCCAGTTTCTATTAAAAAAAAAAAAAAAAGTCACTCCTCACATAATTATTATTTTACAAAGCAACGTGATAACACAGATTCATTCCACCTTTCGAATTAGTCCTTTCAACAGGCAGTGTTTTATTTACTGATTTGTTTGTTTAAAATTAGGGAGGAGACTACTTAGGTTTGAGTTTTTCCAGCTGGAAAAACCCCAACAAGGCCAACAGCCCACTGCTTGTGGGAAATGTTACCTGGCTTCAAGAAAAAGTGGACCATGAGATGACTCCATGAAGATGGAATCTTCAACAGAGCTGACGGCGTGCACCTGGTGAGTAATACTGCCTTCGTCGTCTGCTAACAGCATGGCACCCCACTCAGCTACCCGGGCTCTTAACCTTTTATACACATGCACACAGTTTGCAGTTCACAGCAGAGCTCACAAAAGGGGACTGAAAATAACGTCTCTCAATTAAACAGCCCACACAGAAATTGAGTTGCCACCCTATATGATAAATCTTATGCTTTCTATATTTAAAGTAAATGTACTCTATAGCAAATTGCAAAACTTAAAAAAAAAATCTATATGCACTCTTTAAAACACTCGCATAATAGGCAAGGAAACCTAAGGCTATAATATACATTCTTTTCATATCCCTCAGAGGCTGGTCTTAGTATATCCAAAGCACTAAGGGAAGCCCTTTAAACCAATACCCTAAGCCAGTGGTCACCAACTAGTGGTCCGTGAGGTCCAAAGGTTGGCAACTGCTGCCCTCAGCAGTACCTGACAGCATGTGGTGACCATAAGTATTCATTCAAAATGAGGCTAACAATTATTAATCAGAAGGTTTATAGATGTTTCTAATTTCAGACTACCAAAACCTACAAAATACATCTGTGAAAAATTGAGTCCAACATCCCAAATTCATAGACTGTTATGATCTTACGATGAGGGTTTCAAAGTTTACAATTCCAAGTCAATAGAGATGAATAGAATTTAAAATGAGAACACAGGTTAAACGTGCACTAGAGATTTTGCTTTGGTATCTGTGTGATTTTTGTGCATTTTCACTGATGGAGGATTTTTCTAAAAATTTTTAAATTTATTTTTTAATTTAGGGAGAGAAGGGGACTAGGATTAAAGCTACCTACAATCACGTTAAAATCAGTCAAAATAATTTCTCATAAATATTCAAGTATGGAAGGTTATGCACACAGCTCCTTTTATTGTATTTTAAGAAGGTAATACCATTAAAAAAAATAATGTATTCTGACTGACTTTATTGCTTGGTTTTCTTTTGCATTTTCAGATAGTAATTCTTTTCCCCAAGCTGTAGTATAACCATCAATAGGCAAAACAGTTCATATTTATACACAAACAACATAGATTCATGCTCAAGATATAGCTAGTTAAAAACTGATGGCAACTATTAACTCCAAATATATTTTAATGATTCCATTAATGTTACAGTAGTTGTTTCAGGCACTTTTAGTCATGGAAAACTACACTTCTAGACACAGAAAGCTACTTGGAGAACTATTTCATGCCTTTGCCATGTGCATTTAAAAGCAGCACCAACTAGGCTCTATTTACAGAACAGAAAGTATTTCTAATGGATGGCACATTTGTTGTTGCTTAGGTAACTAAAACATCTGAATGAAGAATAGTGAATGCCATCTTGCGCTGGCTAGCATGCTAAGTGGTTAGTGTCATCCTGTGAACCAAAGGGTCTCAGGCTCAATCCCTGGTCGAGGTGTACGTGAAGCAATCATGGACGATTTTTCTCTCACATTGATGATTCTCATTCTCTCTCTCTCTCTCTCTCTCTCTCTCTCTCTCTCTCTCTCTCTCTCTCTCTCTCTCATCATCATCATTGAAAAATATATCCTTAGGTGAGGATTAACATGAAAAAACAAACAAAAAAAGAAGAGTGCCATCTTAATTGTATTTCTAAGTATTAAGAACTGAGTCATGCTTCTCATTTTAGGTCTCAAGTAGAAGCAGAATAAGTTTCATAAAGCTGCCTCCCAATTCATTTCTAAATTCAAGCAAAAATAATTCTTTCATAATTCCAAAGTATAATTCTTTCAAAATGACTCACATAAAATATCATCTTAGAATTATAACATATAGTATCTTATTGCATATTTTTTCTTTCTTCTTAAAGTATTTTAGTATTAAAAAGGCAATATATGTGCAAAATAAAGTAGGGGGGGGGGGAAATCACCAACAGTCCTATCACCTAAGGTAGGGGTGTCGAACTCAATCAGAGAAGGGGCCTAAATCTAAAATCCAGCCTAAATCGCAGGCCGAATGGTTTACTGAACAGTCATAAACTGTCATTGTGATGGGAACGCATTGGAGTGCAGTGATGACAGCGCGGTGCTGGCCACATTGCAAGGCCTGGCGGGACGGATTTGGCCCGAGGGCCTTGTGTTTGACACATGTGACCTAAGGCAACTAATTAAAATTTGGGGCATTTCTTTTTAGACTTTTCCTATGTATTTATTTAAAAAAGTATTTTTATTGACTTCAGAGAGGAAGGGAGAGGGAGAGAGAGAAACAACGATGAAAGAGAATTATTGATAAGCTGCCTCCTGCACACCCCACACTGGGGAATCGAGCTTGCAACCTGGCATATGCTCTGTCCGGGAATCGAACTGTGACCTCCTGGTTCATAGATCGAGACTCACCACTGGGCCACGCAGGCCAGGCTCTATGTGTTTCTTACACAGCTGCAAACACAATGTGCACAATTTATATAATTTTATATCCTTTTAAAAACTATTATATAGTTTTCTCATACATTATAGGAACATAATTTTAAAAAACTACATTATATTCTATTATCCTAATGGTAGCTATTCTTGATTTACTGGTGACTATAACTAAAGTGATGAATAACTTTCTATAGAAGATTTCTCTCTATATTTAGAATAGTTTCCTTCAGATAGTTTCCCAAGATGAATATTACAGCGTTAAAAAATGTGTGTGTGCTAGTGTGTGTATAAAGGTTTTTTTAAAAAAAATCTATTGCTATGCCAGAATCATTACATTTTCCTACTCTATTTGGAATAAGATAATTTATTATTCAGCAGTATCTTTTTCATAACTTAAGAAGTGATGACTAACTGCTGAAGTATAACTGGAATCAATCAATTGAAGCTTATTAGAGCTTTCAGGTTCGTAGGCGGATGCTGGCTTTGTATCTGAGAAGTGCTGAAGGCACATATGTCCATCAGATGACAAACACTTCTTGACACAGATGTGGGAGCCGATCACTATATGTGAGCTTGGGTATTATTAAAGCTGCTACTTAATAAGGCAGAGAGAAGAAAATGTTCCAAAATTCAGGCAATAAAGAGTTAAACTAAGAATTTTCTTTGTTGCCTTAGTAGGTTTGGCTCAGTGGGCAGAGTGTCGGCCTGGGGACCAAAGGGTCCTGGTTTGATTCCGGTCAAGGGCATGTACCTTGATTGAAGGCTCCTCTCTAGCCCAGGCCCTGGTTGGGGCACTTGCAGGAGGCAACCAACTGATGTGTATCTCTCACATGGATGTTTCTCTGTCTTTCCCTTTTTCTCCCACTCTATCTAAAAGATCAATGGAAAAAATATCCTTGAGTAAGGATTAAAAAAGAAAAAGAAAAATAATTCTCTTTGTGAATCACATCAGGCATATAACAGTGACCAAAATTCCCAAGTACCTCTGCACAGAATTCCTTAAAGCGGGCATACAAGATGCTTTTGATTAATTCTGCAATTTATGGTAAATATAAGAATATGACTCAAAATCTTTATTGGTTAAATGTATTAAACAAATAATAAAAAAAGAGAATGTTATCAACTGTAATATTTCAAAACATAAAACAATCAAATCCCAAAGGGTTCAATGGCATTAAGTCCATTTTAGCTATTCTCAAATAGGATATTTTTAATTTTTTTATTAGGTGTCACAGGACTATATATCTGGGATATGGAAACTATATTAAAGAGATCTAAAAATCTGCAAAAATTAGAATGTGTGGAAGGGGGAGTATTCAGTGAGATCCAGATATTGATTGTAATCATGTCCTGTGTTGCAAGCTATTAAGCAGAGGACAGAAAAGTATAGAACATACGGAGAAGCGACAAAGCTAAGAGACTATGCATCAATGTAAAAAAATGCTTTACCAAGCCTTAGAATAAAAATTTAGGAAGAGTAGTTCTACCCAGATTTTTTATCAGGCCTCCCCTAAAGCTTGTCAGAAACAAATTTGAATTTCCTATTTTTAATTTTTGTCACTCATCATTTTATCCTTTCCAAACACAACTCAGAGGTGTACAAATGCACTAATGTGAATGATCTTCTAATTTTATAATTCTATCCATCTATGTATCTCAGTTATGAAGTTTTAAGTTAATACTTTGAAACAGCCTATATAATGGTTATGCATGTAACCTAAAGTTACTAGGGCTGATACGTATCATATATAGCTTTTTGCTATTTCAATTACCTAGCCCAAGTTAAAAACTGTATTGAGGTCACCAAAACTATAAGTTTTGTTTTTAATAAGTCACATAAAAAAAAAATCCAAACCTCCCTGCTTTTATTCCTCTCAATGCTTCTTCCTGATGAAGTAATTTTTAAAAGTATTTATTTCTAATAAAAATGCTTGTATTGTTAATAATCATTTTAATAATGACAATTTTCCTAATTGAATTAGTAGGCATGAATATTCTTTTTAAAAAAATATATATTTTATTGATTTTTCACAGAGAGGAAGAGAGAGAGAGAGAGAGCTAGAAACATCTGAGAGAGAAACATTGACCAGCTGCCTCTTGCACACCCCCTACCGGGGATGTGTCCGCAACCAATGTACATGCCCTTGACTGGAATCGAGCCTGGGACCCTTCAGTCCGCAGACCGCTCTACCGGTTTTGGCAGCATGAATATTTTAATAAGATATTTCTCAAAATAGGTTAAAAAGTCAAAATATAGTATGTATTCAATGAAGATGAAGTACAACACAAAAGTCATAAGAAAACTGTTAACTGAGCATGCCTAAATAGTAACACACTTTGGAAAAGGACATAGGTATGCATCAATGTAAAATAATGCTTTACCAAGCATTAGAATAAAAATTTAGATGATCATAGGTACATGGGAATATGCCATGGGAAACATAATATATATGATATCTACTGATACTTAAAGATTAGCTTAGGCAAACACCACCTTGTGTGCCATTTAATACACTAACCAAAAGGCAAAAATATTTTAAAATATATGCAGTAGCAGCTTACTTCATGAGAATCTATAACACGATCTCCTGTATAATTTTAAACTATGATAAGTATCCAAATCCAAAGAAAAGCCTTGTAAGGACTTTCATACAAAGGAATATGGAAGTTTCATATA